GCACGCTCCAGCACGCGCGCTCCAGCACGCACGCTCCAGCACGCACGCTCCAGCACGCACGCTCCAGCACGCACGATTCTGCTTGCACATCTACCCATGTGTTTAGTCATATCACAACACGCACATCTATGCACGCCTCAACATCACACGCTTAGCACGCACGTATCAACACGCACGCATCACCGAAAAATCCACAGCCGACTCACCGCTGTTCCATTCTCCAAGCACGACTCTACACGCATACCTCAGCATGCACGACTCGCCATGCACGACTCACTCCGCACGCCACACTAGTCATCTCACCGACTTATCACGACTTCCCAGTCATGCCCCATTATACACTTATACATGCCTCTGCATGCACGCCCCAACGATCACGACTCCCCAAGCAAGACTCGCCATGCGCGACTCTACATGAACAACTCCCCATGCATGATTCACTCTGCACGCAATTAGATACGCCTCACCCTTCACTACTAGTCACGCATGACTCACCATTCACGCCTCACCATACATTTCTCAGGTCGCACGCCTCAGCACACATGTCTCTGCCCCAAACCATCAGCATGCACGCCGGTGCACGCACTCCTCAATATGGACGTCTCAACATGTACATCTCAGTACGCTCGTCTCAGCACGCACGCCACAGCACACACGCCGCTACTTGCAATACCCTTCGCCCACACTTCTGCACTCAAGACGTAGCACGCACGTCTCAGCACTCATCAACCACACACCTTTAGCACGCACACATCAACACGCACGCTTTAGCACGCACGCATCAGCACGCACCACTCCGCACGCACGCTTCCGCTTGCACACCTTCCCATGCACACCTCAACACGAACGCCTCAACACGCACTTCTCAGTGCATACGCGTGGGTTAGCATGCCTCAGCACATACGGCTTCCAACACACAGCATCACTATTCACGCTTTATCACTCACTTCATACCTCACTGACTCATCGAATTTATTGACAGAATGTAGGGCGTAATTGATAATTTCCTGACAAAATGATATTGTAAACTTATGGTATGTTAATGTTATGATTTGAAACAAAAATATACTGTTCAATTATGTAATTCTGGGCACCTTATGTTAAGTCAGTTTGGCTTACATTCCACAAAAAATTTCATGAAAATAAATCTGTGCTAAGATGGCAAAATGACATAAGTCACATTTTCATCACATGAGACACAAAATGACAAAAAACACTCTTGTTTGTTCATGTTTAGAAGCAGGCAAAAGGTGCATTTCTCTTCTAGTTAATGAAAAAATAATGGTGGTAAATTGCAATAAGACAAAAGAAACAGAGTAATTTTTCAAGACATTTTAATGATTAAAATTGCTGTCAAGAAAAAGTTTTAAAAAGTATCTTATTACATTTTTCCATCTTAGCACAGACTTATTTTCATTAAATTTGTTGTGGAATGTAAGCCAAACTGACTTAACATAAGGTGCCCACAATTACATAATTGAACAGTATATTTTTGTTTTATTCTCCTGTACTATTACTATTACGTATTCGTGCGTACGCTAGGTGGGTTCACACTCACTGCACTCACTGGGGTTGTACTCGCGCAGGCAGAGCACGTGGGCGTGGCTGGGGTAGGTGACGCCGTTGGAGGCGCACACGGGCGACTCGCGTGAGCGCGCGCGTGCCATGGTGCGGCACGCGGCCACCGGCGCCTCGGGCGCGCACGGGCCCAGCCGCGCCGCCTGCAGCCCTGCGCGCACACACGCAACAGCTGACCCCACACTGCGACACTCCGGGGGTAAACAACACAAACATTTATTTAAACAACGCGGCGATTGTAACGGTTTGCGTATCGGTCTGTTACACCCAAGTTGGCGGGTTCAAAGCCGTGGAATTTTAAGAGTTAAAAAATCCTTCGTACGCCTTCCTTCGGAGGGGAAGTAAAGCCGGCTGTCCCATGTTAGTTGATTTACTTGCATGTTACAGATCTTCAACCCTAAATAACGACTCTGAGCCAAGTTCTAATGGCCGCTCGCCTACCCCACACTGCGACACTCGGGGGTAAACAAGTGGCGATTTTATTGGCATATTTATAAATGCGTGGTGATGGTGTAACGGTTAGCGCATCGGGCTGTTACACCAAAGTTGGCGGGTTCAAACCCGATTTTTAAGAGCAAAAAAATCCTTCGTAGCCTTCCTTCGGAGGGAAATAAATCCGGCTGGTCCATGTTAGTAGATTTACTTGCATCTAAAAGATCCCAATCCTAAATGACGCCTCTGAGCTAAATTCACATGGCCTGTTTCTCGCCCAAGAAATACCTCCTTTCTCTGCTAGTGGTGACAGGAGAGTTGCGAAATTTGAGTGGTCAGACGGAAGAGCGGGTATGATGGCCCGAGTCTCGCCACGTAAAATAAGGTATTAATTTAATTCAATTCTATACAAAGATTCCTGAGAAGAAATAAAAGATGTCATCTCCATCAATTTAAAATTAAGTTGATGGCGATTACATATTTTATTTCTTTATGTAATTATGTTAAAAATACCACATTATAATTCCCAAAAAAAGATTTCTATTCCTGTCCTTGGCTCGACAACCCGATAATGGCCATGACCGACCAGTAGTGACCCACCCTCTCGACCATGAAATAAGGGATTCGTGCGGTGACAATAAAGTCATCTCTTCACCGTATATACTGGTCTTCTTAATCTTACAGTGGGCTTTCTCATCTTCACACAACAAAAGATGCTGGGACATTTGTAAGGAAAGCGCACGATTATAATTTTGGCCCGGCCGGAAATCGAACCCAGAATTGCGCCGTGGAAAGCGAGCACGCTAAACAACGAAAGGTCAGTTTTCCTGACCCTTGAGCAAATGCTAAGATAGGCCCTTGTTTTGCTTCTGAACGTAAATGTAACTTCATTAACCGTGCAAGTCTTCTTTGGTGGGAAATATAGTTATTCAATTTATCGTTCTCCATTATGTCGCAGCAGGAAGTATTTCTTCACGAAGAAAATGATGAGGAATAATAATCCTTATCTACAGCTGATTTGACCTTGAAAATAGATTTCATTACTCATTTTTATTACTCATTTCATTTTTCATTAATTCAACAGTGCGAATATTTTGTTAACAATTCTTATCAAGAACGTTCATTTCTTTCTGTATCCAGAATTCAACTTGTATATGACTTAGGATTAGGTATCCAAAAATTAAGAAAACGTTCACAAAATATACCTCCCCGTAGCAAGTTACACACAGTTTTAACTTTCTGATGTAAAATAGAGAAAATTTAAAAAAAATAAACGGAACAACGGCCGATCAGATATTGTGTACGTCTGTATGTGTGGTCCTTTCACTCCTCACTATCATCCTCATTTTATTGTCCATACCACCAGAGCTAACAACCCTGGGAGAAAAAGTCAAATCTAGCTAAATGCTGATCCCGAGATTAAATTACATGCACTTGACACCGAGATAACGTTGCTGAGCCCCGGGAAAAATGCAGGGTGCATGTACGCGTGATTCAAGTCGGCCTATTCGCGATCAAACAAATTGCACAACTCTCATCCAAAATCCCGCTGCCACCCATGAGGTCTCCCTAAACCGCGCGTGTAGGGAGGGCCATGATGGAAAGACATGGGAGATCAACTGCGCATTGTATCTGACTTCAGCCTCGTATGTGATTCACGCACCAGTTTGCGTTACAGTAATAACAGGACTTTTAAATGCAAACAGATACCGAAATTATCACCTTCTTACAAGTCATTGAATCAGATATATTAAACATTTCTTTTAAATACTGCATCTTGTTCACCTTTATCGTGTTATCTTTGGTTTTTCACCATTGAAAATTGTCGCTTTGTATCATTTCAAAATGGCCTCAACACTCACTATTTACTAGGCTGCCCGGGTGACGTCGTCCATGGCGAAGGTGCAAACGTTTCTGTGGCCATATTGCGACCTTCCTCAGGGCGTAACGTCGGCACCTTCGCCATGGACGCGGCGTCACCCGGACAGACTAGTAAATACTGAGTGTTGAGACCATTTTGAAATGATACAAAGTGACAATTTTTCAAAGAGACATAGTGTCACCCGGACAGCCTAGTAAATACTGACACCGGCCGCGGAAGACTACCCTGGCCTCAACACTCGCTCTCCATCCAACATGGTTGGGCGTTTCAAACGAAGTGCCCGTGCTGTGGTCACGTGGTCCGTGACGCAAACTGGTGCTGCGCAGAACGAGCCAAAATCGCTGGACTAGCCCACCCATATCTTGTTGCCATGTGGAGAGTGACCTGGGGGAGCATAGACTTCCGCGGCCGGAGCCAGTATTTACTAGGCTGTCCGGGTGACGCCACGTCCATGGCGAAGGTGCCGACGTTTCGCTCGCCATTCTGCGACCTTCCTCAGGGCGTAATGCCTTGAGGAAGGTCGCAGGAATTACGCCCTGAGGAACGAGGTCTGATGCCCTGAGGTAGATGGCATTACGCCATGAGGAAAGTCGAAGAATAGCGACCGAAACGTCGGCACCTTCGCCATGGAGGCGGCGTCACCCCGACAGCCTAGTAAATAGAGTTACCTGGGTTCCGCTGAGCGGCGCAGCGCAGCGCCTCCGGGTTGGGGTAGTCGACGCCGTCTGAGCCGCAGATGGGGTCGTACACCAGCGACATGGCGCAGCGCAGGCGGCACGGCCCGTCGTACTCCACGTGGTTGGCTGCGGCCGCAACAACGCCCACGTCACACGCCTCGCCCCGTCTCGCCTCTCGCCTGTCGCCTCGCCTCTCGCGTCGCCTCTCGCGTCGCCTCTCGCCTCGCCTCTCGCCTCGCCTCTCGCCTCGCCTTTCGCCTGGCCTCTCGCCTCGCCTTGCCTCACCCCATTCAGTGCAAGGTTCATCGCGGCCAATTATGTACCTGAGCGGGCTGCTCGCTCTTTTTGAAAAATGGTGTTGCTGTGTCATGCGAGTGACTCATTTAAACTCATATTCACCCGACAGCTCTACAAAACTTGAAAGGTTACACGTTACTCAACAGTAAGATATTTAAATGATCTGATACTCTATTACCAGTGAGTTATATACATAAGTTGCATAATATTGTAGGAGTGAAAAATTAGTTGTTTTTTATATTAGTGGGAAAATATAAAAGGACGTATTGAGCATCATTACAAATGTTGATAAAAGTTGAAGTAATATATGGATATCAACAAGTAGTTAATACGTACTTTCTCAAAGTATTGAAATCCTTTTTGGAAAGTTGTTTGCATCCAACGTAATTTAAATTTAGTGATGCCAATTTTCCATTACTTTTCATCAAAACCATTTTTTTCTTTTACTGTTTTTTAACTTGTGCAGATTAGCATAATATTATTTCACATTAGGTTCCAATAATATTATTTGATCATACACATTAATAGTTTGTGAATTCCCTAAGCATCTTTTCATTATCACAAGCATATCACGTTCGAGGACGCCGTAAGGACGCACGAGAGCTCAGCAGTACCCCTTCCCCTTCGTCTTATAAATAGGTCAGATCAAACCCGATAGTTAGCAATGTCTAATCTGCTTTATCCAGGACTCTCCGAATAAATGTTATAAACTTCTAGGGGTCGAAAATGAAGGGACCATTGTCTGAAATTTCCAGCTTTGTGTTCATTGGTATACATTTATTTTTTCCCTCTACTTCTCCAGAAGCTTTTAAGATCTGAGACTCTCTGTATACATGCCTCCATTTGATTTCACCCTAGTGCTCACTTGGCATTTCAGCCCGCCGCATTGGTCGTCATAGAAATCCGAGTCTCCTACATGACTAAGAGAATCACCCTCCCTTTCGTCAAGCTTCCTTTCGACCCCGAGTCTTCGGGGTGTACGCCAAGGTCCTGTGTCCG